TACTCTGAAAACAGTCAACAGGAAAATGAGGAAGCCAGCTTGGCTTGGAGGACACAGGGTAGGCAGAGCCTGGGTCACAGGAATTTGCAGCTGGGTGAGGCAGGGAAAGAGGTCACAGGTCTGGGTTGTGGGATCTGGGAATTACTGAGGATGTTGGGAGGAGGCGACAGTCGGCCAGCCTCTTTCTTTCCTTAGGCCCCTGCCTCAGCCGGAGCCTTTACCATCTCAGCCCTAAGCTTCCCTCCTCACACATCAGATCTGGCTCTTCCCCTCCCCCAGTCCCAAATCCTGAGCGAGGCCACATCGATGGCCCTGAACTTTAGGATATTGACCTGTCTCTCCTTCCACTGCGGGTACAGATCGGAGCTGAGGCCTGGGACGCAGGAAGTGAACATCGGTAGGGTGTAGGGTGCTGGGGGGTTGCAGGGGTGCCATACAGTAGCTGCAGGCCGAACTCTTCCCTGCTTTCCAGGCTTGTAACCTACAGTCTCCCATCTCTTCTCTCCTAGAGCCTGGGAGCCAGGATGGAGCAGAGGAAGCTGGTGTCCAGCTGGCCTCCCTGCTCGCTCGCTCGCTCTTATGTAAGACGCAGCGGGCCGGAGGCTCCTCCCTCCCTCCTTCCCTCCCTCCCTCCCCGGCTCGCCTTGCAGTGGTTTATTTCTTCATTACTGCTCAGAGATGGAAAGCAGTCCTAACTTCTGCTCAGTTTGCCTGCACCCGGGCTTCGGAACCAGAACAGCTGCCCCTGTGGAGAATCATCTTATGTGACAGAGAGCAGACCAGGATGTTCATCTCTGTTCCACCAGGCCTACCCTCCTCTCTTCCTCCCCTTCCTCTCCAGCATGCCCCGCCCCTCTCTCCTCCACTGGAGGCTTCTGGAAGGAAAGGATTTCCTGATAGGGACTTGAAAACTCCAAGGCAACCTTTGCACACACTACAAAGAGGAGAGGGAATCATCAGGTATTGACACTCAGGCTCTACACATGGTTCTCATGGAGTGGGTAGGGGTACCCTAGGCTGCTGCCTCTTTGAGAAATGCCCTTCAGTTTATAGGTGCACTGTGTGGCATTTACAGTCAGTGGTGATGGAAACCCAGAAGCACCTGGGAGGGGTGGGCAGAGGATGCCCTTTTTAGACTCCACATCGACCACATCATTGTGCAGGAAGAATGCAGAGATGTCCCAGGATGATCTGATCTGGCCCACTAAGAGTTTTTTCCCCACCCCTGAGGAGTGAGGTAGAGTTGGTAATTCAGGCACACAGTCTTTCTCTGAGATCCAAATGAGAAAGGGTCTTGTCTTTCAAGCAGAACACCATCGTCATTGTTATGCCCAGATAGCGACCTCCAGAGAGACCGAAGACGAGCATGCCGGAATGCAAAAGCAAGGTTTAATTCAGGATATCCAAATGCAAGCCTAGGCAGGGACTTAGTCCAACAGATCCAACACAGGGGAGGCTGGAGGAAGTGCCCACCTCTTGCAAGCTCAGTTTTTTAAGGCAAAAACCACAAGGTTACATCATTTAGGGGTGCTAGTACAGGTACAATTCTGATTGGCTCAGTTCTAGGGGCTTTCTAGAAATCATGGCTTAATTTTACTTCTAAGGGGGTGGTTGCCTGCCACCATTTCTCATTGGCTGCCCTCAGGTAGGAACATTTCTGTGGTCAGTTACCCTGGAAACCAGGGAGAGGACATTCCGTAGTCTGGCAGTCATTACCTCGTGACTACTTTGTGACTCTGTACTTTTACACTTCCTGGTTTCTGGAATCTGGACTGACTGGTTTCAGTAACTAATGGCCTATTCCTAAAAGGAGAAATCTTAGGCCTTAGTTTTAGGGTGAAAGCATTTTGGTCTTATTTCTAAGATGGCTCATTTTGGTCTTACATTTCCCCCTTCTCATGTGCCTAATGGAACCTAATCATGGGTTTGGGGCAGTTAGCTTGTAAGTATCCCTCTCTAATAATGGCCATGTATAGTTAGTCATCTTGTCTCTATGCCAGGGAGTTTTCTTTTGACCCAGCATTTCAGCCTTTTCTGAACAGGGAACATGGGATGACGTATTCTCTTCTGAAACTGCTTCAAGTTGGCATTGGGGCATCCTTGTCAGGGCCCCCAAAAGGCTGAAAAGCTAGTCAAGGACTGGGCAAGGGGGCAATTGTCAGACGTGTGTGGCTCTGTGACCCTGTAGAGACAAGGAACAATCACTTTGGCTGGGCTGGTCCACATCAGCTTTTAGCAAGTCTGGAGCTCACAGTCATCTGGAGCAGTGGAGTCAGCAACTGAAACTTGGAGGTGACTGCTAGCCAAGTAGAAATCTGCTGAGACAAACTTAAACTAGGAACAGAAGTTAAAATTTATGTACTTATTTGGAACCCGTAGGTCCATACCCTTAGTAATGGGAAAAGCAGTAGTCTCAAGACCAGGAGGGAGGGAAAATACCATCTCTAGGAATAAGCTGCACTTATCTGGGATCCTTTTGGCCTCTGTGAAGTGGATCCAAGTTTTATGACTCTTTTAATCCTCTGAGGTCTACAGGAACTATCTTATAAAATGACATAAAAATTTTAGATACATTGGTATTACCAATCTGTACTAAAAACCATATTGTAGACAAAGCAGGTAATGGATATCTGTAAAACAGCAGAAGTGGACTCATACTTTTGAGTCCCAACAAGAACTACAGATTTGGGTTAAAAGTTTGTACATTTTCCTTCTGTCCAGAAAGCCAGGTATAAATTGGACAGAGATTTTTGACTTGATGAGAAGCACTTTTAGGTTTACATTTAGATATATTTAGATGACATCTAAAACAAATCTAAAATGTTAAGCTTGTGGTTGAACAGTAAGTAGTCATTGCTCTACCAGTTTATCAGGACTCTTAAATGTTAAGTTCTGAACCATTACATCATAGAACATGAAAGCAATCTGAAACATATCTCATCTTAAATCATTTTTTGACTCATCTGAACCTTTATGACTTATTTAAACTTTTATATCTTAGAACATTTTTCTAAAAGTGAGCTAGTAAGCTAGCTATAGCCTTGCAGAAAGATCTGTTTGTCTGATGCTGCCATGCTGACAAAGTTAGAGCTAGCCTAGCCATCAGTACTATCAGAAATCTGAGAAGGATAAACTATATCTGAGTGCAGACCAAGAAGCTTCCAATCCTATAAATTACAGGGACCAATCCCTACCCAGATCTCCATAGCGTTGGAAGCACCAGTTGGAACAGCATCAATCTTCTTCCACCATCTGGCCCATTATGATCCTGTTTCCTGACTTCAGCACCAGTGGCTCTGTCACAAGCTTCCCATCAGCTCCTTTACCAGGCTCTAATGTCACCATCACTTCTCCATCAGGCTGAGGGATGCTTCAGAAGAGACAGTGTTGCTCCCGGATGAACTGTCCAGTCAACTTGATGTCCACATCTACCTGGCCAACCCTGGTGACACCATCTTTGTTGTGGTAGAGAAGATACTCAGACATCAAGGGGTCCTCATTCAGATTTACCAAGTGGGGAGTCTTTTTTTTTTTTTTTTTTTTTGGTTTTTCGACACAGGGTTTCTCTGTGTAGCTTTGCGCCTTTCCTGGAGCTCACTTGGTAGCCCAGGCTGGCCTCGAACTCACAGAGATCCGCCTGCCTCTGCCTCTGCCTCCCGAGTGCTGGGATTAAAGGCGTGCGCCACCAATGCCCAGCTGAGTCTTTTTTGGAGAGAAGGCACCCACAGTACCACCATCCTCTCAGACAGCCATGCCCATCTCAGCCAGCAATGCTTCTCTCTCCATTCGCAGGGCTTCTGTTTTACATAGCTTCTCTTCCCAAGTCTCATTCAGCTCAGCAATAATCTTCTCCATCTCCTGCAGCCTCTTCATGGCCTCCTTAGGCCCAATCTGGGGCTTAGCACTGGGGGAGAAGGAGGGCTCCAGCTCCTCATTGTGTGGAGGAGGAGATGAGGGTGAAGCTGGGGTGAGAGGAGATGATGCAGCTGACAGAGCACCTCCAGGACTGCCCTCTTTAACCTTCAGACCTCCTAGAGCAGAGCCTGAAAGTCCCTGAGCCATCAGCAGCTCCCACGAATGTGTCACCTCCTCCTGCAGCTCTCGGGTAAGCCGGGCATTTGGGCATCTTGCCCTGTGGTCAGTGTTGCCTAAAAGTGTTACCTAAAAGGTAAAAATATTTTGGTCTTATTTATAAGATGGCTCATTTTGGTCTCACATTATTAATAAAAAGTTCAAGTGACTAATACAGGAGCAACATGGGTAGTGTGATAGTTTGAATGAAAATGGCCCCATAAGCTCATAGGGAATGGTCCTATTGGGAGGTGTGGTCTTATTGGAGTAGGTGTGACATGGTGGGAGGAAATGTGTCACTGGGGGTGGGCTTTGAGGTCTCAGAAGCTCAAGTCAGGGCTAGTGTTTCAGTCTTTTCCTGCTGCCTGCAGATCCAGATGTAGAACATTCAGCTACCTCACTAGTACCCTGTCTGCCTGTGTGTTGCCATGCTTCCCACCATGATGACAATGTACTGAAATTATAAGCCAGTCCCAATTAAATGTTTTTCTTAATAAGAGTTGCCATGGTAATGGTGTATCTTCATGGCACTAGAAGCCCTAAAAAAGACAGATAGATTTAAAGGAAATTAAATTGATCAAAAAAAGCAGTAAGACCTGAGTTCAAATCCTGAGCACCCACCTGAAAAGCCAGGCATGGTCACATCCACCTGTTGCTCCTTTACTGCAAGGGGTTGAGACAAGATTTCTTGCTATGTAATCTTGGGTGGCCTAGAATTCACTATATAAGCCAGATCAGCATCAAACTTGACAAGACCCTCCCGCCTCTGCCTCCTCATGTGCTAGGATTAAAAGCATTAGCCAACAACTTCTATTTCAGACATAACTTTAAGAAACATGTATTCTGCATTGCAGCTCAACACATACATATGTGTTTGTTTAATATTTATTTTCATAATTCCATATATATTTAAAATGTATTGTGATCATATTTATCACTGCCCTCCCTTTTGTTTATTTTATGTGTATGAGTTGTTTTATCTGCATGAATGACTGTGCACTACATGCCTTGCATAGATCTTTCAGAGGTTAGAGGAGGGTATTGGATTGAATCCCCTGGAACTGGAGAAGTGGTTGTGAGCTGCCATGTGGATGTTGGGAACCTAACTCAGGTCCCCTTCAAGGGTAATACATGCTCTTAAACTGCTAAGCCATCTCTCCAGCCCCAATACATGTTTTTTAATAAAGTCAGATAATTTTTTTCAGAAATTCATAAATTCCTTCCGATCTCGCTATTTGTGACATATTCTGACATTTTCTCATCAGTTCTATTCTATCTTATTCTGTCCTTTTCAAATGAAAGCTTGTTAAGTTGCCACCCACTGAATTTACTTTAGGAATGGCTCTTCCTTACCACCTGCTGTTTGAAAAATCCATGTTCTAATATGTGCTGTCAGCTCTGTCAAAAGTTTTGTGTTCCTCCTTGTCTTAATTAGGGTTTCTAATTCTGTGATGAAACACCATGACCAAAAGCAAGTTGGGGAGGAAAGGGTTTATTTGGCTTATACTTCCATAGCATAGTTCATCATTGAAGGAAGTCAGGACAGGAACTCAAACAGGGCAGGAACCTGAAGGCAGGAGCTGATGCAGAAGCCATGGCAGGATGCTGCTTACTAGCATGCTTCTAATGGCTTACTCAGCCTGATTTCTTATAGGACCCAGGACCACCAGCCCATGGAAAGCACCACCCACAATGGGATAGGCCCTCCCCTATCAATCACTAATTAAGACAATATCCCACAGGCTTGCTTATCTTATGGGGGCATTTTTTTCAATTGAGGCTCCCCACTCTCTAATGACTTTAGCTTATATCAAGTTGACATAAAACTGGCAAGGACACTCCTTATTTATAGACATACATTTCAAGACTCCAGTAGATGCTTGAAACTGTGAGTAGAACAAAACTTTACATACGCTACATTATTTCCTGAAGATAACTACATACCTGTGGTAAGATTTAATTTCTAAATTAGTTATAGTAAGACATTAACAATGACTTTCCATGGAGCTTAGTAACCTCAGTATATGATTCTATTCTTTCCTTAACCTTAAAACTTTTTCCGGTGGTGCACACCTTTAATCCCAGCACTTGGAAGGCAGAGGCAGGCAAATATCTGTGAGTTCAAGGCCAGCCTGGACTACAGAGTGAGTTCCAAGAAAGGCGCCAAAACTACACAGAGAAACCCTGTCTTAAAAAACCAAAAAACAAACAAATAAACAAAAAACTTTTTCCTCTTCCCTGAGAAAAAGGTACTCCATAGGTTCTCTTTGGCATAGCCACTTCAGGGGCCATTATTAAATAAAATACAGGTTTCAAGCTGGAAAGATGGCACAGTGGATAAGAGCACTTGCTGTGGAAGCCTAAGGACCTGAGTTTGAACCTCCAGTACTCATATAAAAATCTGTGCATGGCTTCATGTAACTGTAACTCCAGTGTTTAGAGATGGAGACAGGTAGATCCCAGGGGATGGCTGGGCATAGCCACACACGCATGCACTCGCACACACACATGCTTGTACCACATACACACAAAATAATAAAATGAAAAACAGATGGTGTGAAAACAAGCACTGTGATTCCACAACAGTTGGTCTGATCACCCAGACAGCAACTAAGTAACTAATGGATGGGCATAGATATTGTGTTGTTGTGGACACATTAGACAAAGGGATGATTAATGTCATGCACAGGAGAGAGCCAGATAGTGTAGAATTTTATCATGCTACTCAGACTGGTATACAATTAAAACTTGTGAACTGTTTATTTCTGGAACTTTCCATTAAGTACTTTTGGATCATACTTGATCTCAGGTAACTGAAAAGGCAGAAAATGATGCCCATTGGTGAATGACTAGGTAAAGATAATGTAGCACATACACATAATGGTGTATTATTTATCCATTAAAAACAAAATCATGTCATTGCAGGGAAATCAATAGACCTGGAGATCTTCAAGTTAAGTGAAATAAACCAGACTTTTGAAAGACTGCTATCCCACATTTTCTATCACACATTTTCTATCATGTGTAGAATACAAAATGATGAAAGGAAGGAAGGAAGGAAGGAAGGAAGGAAGGAAGGAAGGAAGGAAGGAAGGAAGGAAGGAAGGAACAGAGGGAGGGAGGAAGGAAGAAAGGGAGGAAGGGAGGGATGAAAGGAGGGAGGGAGGGAGGGAGGGAGGAAGGGAGGGAAGGAGGAAGGGAGGTAGGGAGGGAGGAAGACTGTAAAGGAATAGGAAGAGAACCAGTGGGGAAGGGAGATAAGTATAGATAATACAGACAGAAAATACAACATACATGCTCATGTGAAAATGTAATAACAAAACAATTTTATATAACTAACATATATAGGGAAGATCTAAATTAGTAGAATAATCTACTATTATCCTGGTTGAAATAGTCTGCTTAATTTATTTTATTCATATGAAACTAAAATATTTACTTATTTATTTATGTATTTATTTATGCAAAGTCTTGTTATGCAGTCTTGTCCAAGCTTCCTCAAACTCTGGTTCCTTTTGTTTTAGTTTCCTAAGCACTGAGATGACAAATGTGTATCATGATGCCCAGCTAACCTGAATGCATTTAAATAAACAATTATATTAATTAGAAAAAATGTATTTTCTATATATTAACTTATAATTACAGCCTGTTTTATTTGGAAGAGGGCAGTGTTATATAATAAAAAATATTACTAAACTGGAGGTAAGATAAGGGGCTACCACTACTAAGTCCTATGGAAATGGAGAGACTCCTAAAACATAAATATTTCTCCAGTAATGTAATATAAAGATATTATCAAATCTAATTTATTTAAGCAGTGGGATTCCCAGGTGGAATCAATTGAGTATCCATAGAAACTCTGGAGAAAGCTGAAAAAAGATTATAAGAAAAGCTATAGGAAAAGCCATACCCAGGGTACCAGCAGCAAAAGCAGAAGGAGAACTCTTCTCCCCTTGTTGCTTGGTGTTCAGCACTGGCAACCAACAGAACAGAAAAGCAAGATGCCAAAACACCTTTACTATAGTGACTTAGCAGCCTGTGAACCACACTCTGAGGAAACTCAGGTGTGAGCAGACTGAGATTGCACCTCTGATACACTTTCCATAGATGGGGACAGCATCAGCAGTCCAATCAGCCAAAGGGCAGACCAGGGAGAAGAGGACTACCCATTGAAGAGTACCTCCAATTAGCAGGGAAGGAATCTGAGAGTCCAGAGGAAAGCCAACAACAAGTTTTTATATGCTGTATTTCCACCTAGCTCTCTCTCCCTCTAATTCTGTCCTGCCAAGGTCATTTTAGATGGCCATCTCAGTCCTGACCTGATCTTGTCTTATATTGCTTTTTTCCATTCTTTTCATTTCTTCTCTTCATGTTCTTTCCTCTTGTTTTATTCTCTCTCAGGGAACATAATCTGGCCTGGTTGAGGGCTTCCTGTGCCTCTGCCTCCTGAGAGATGGGATTATTCTAAATTATCTGATCTCTTTTCCTCCCTCTCATCAATTTACCTTTAGCCAAAATTCTCTTATCACTCTTACTTTCCCCCACCTTACAGTTCCCCCTTCTGTTTACATCCTCCTCCTCTACTTTCTATCACACCAATACTAGTTGCTAGTCTGTGTGTTTTTTCTTATTTCTCTTTTCTTTTTTTCCCTCTCATACCCACAATAACTAATATATCAATACACAAAGAACCAAACAACTGTTTTCTGTATCCAGAGGGCCACAGGGGCTTGGACCTGCCTAGACTCAGTGTGCCAGGCTTTGCTGACTCCCCATGAGAAACCTTGATTTGGGGGATGTGGTAATGTGAGTAGAAAATTTCTTAATAAAGAAAAAAATGAAAAAAAAATACACAAAGAACAATTAATGACCCTTTATGCCCTAAATTAATTGACACTTAAGGAATGGTTGTATATATTTGACTCTTACCCTACTTTTAAAGTGGGTTTACCCCTGGATAGTTACTATTGTTACAGGGTAGGAAAAGATAGAGCCTGAATACCAGTTTAATGAAGGAAAAGACATCTCAACTATACTACACTCTAGTCCCTCCCAATCATTGCAAACACTTCAAACT